GGGGCCCTCTGTAGTATCCCAAAGTTAGCTAGAGGTCAGAAGAACTTCACTTAGAATTTGATTTGAGAAAGTTTGTCAAAGATATCAAAAGGTTTTAAATGTTTGGCCAAGTAGGATCATAAGTCACTGTGAAACAGTATTTATTCACTTAACCAAAGTGACAGTAAACGATGTTAAAGGCAAGTGCAGAATGTTACTGGTAAAGAAACTTCACAATCTGTTATTAAAAGCAAATTAACATTTCAAAGAAAACTTAGAGAAAAAAATCAAATTCTAGTTTTACACGTTTTTACACTTAATATTAAAATTCACTTATTTAATCAAATTCAATCTAATCTAAGACAGTCTTTTTTTTCTTTTTTTTTGGCTGCATTGGTTCTTCGTTTCTGCGCGCTGGCTTTCTCTAGTTGAGGCGAGTGGGGCTTACTCTTCGTTGCGGTGTGCGGGCTTCTCATTGCGGTGGCTTCTCTTGTTGCAGAGCACAGGCTCTAGGCATGTGGGCTTCAGAAGTTGTGGCATGCAGTCTCAGTAGGTGTGGCTTGCAGGCTCTAGAGCACAGGCTCAGTAGTTGTGGCGCACAGGCTTAGTTGCTCTGTGGCATGTGGGATCTTCCCGGACCAAGGATCGAACCCGTGTCCCCTGCATTGGCAGGCGGATTCTTAACCACTGTGCCACCAGGGAAGTTCCTCTAAGATACTCTTGACCATGCATAAAACTTTTCTCAAGGTTCCCATTTTAGAATAAATTTCTAGAAATATATGCCATTTCAAAGTATAATCTTTCAATAAAGCACAAAATATTTATTAATATTCTCATACATATTTAGTTTCACTGTAATAAGAAGTCAAAAGTAGGTAAACATAGACTCCTTTAGCACTTAATGTTTCAGCATTTTATCTTATTAAAAATGGTCTAGAGGGAAAAAAATGATCTAGACATTCAGTGAATTTCCATCATTTAACTTATCAGAACTCTAAGGTTTCAAGTTACCAGAAATCTGGAGAAACTATTTTTAGGTAGGCATACCATAAAACATAATTGTTCTTAAATAGTTTAACCAAAACCTTTTATCCCATTTATCTCTATTTCATTACCTATGAAAATATCATCAGATCATTAATTTTCTTGTTAACAGATTTTATAACCTAGATAGATGAACTTATTGAATTTCAGTAACCCTAGGTACAATAAAAGTATTCTACTTAATGTTGATGACTCTAAAGACATGTCTGTATCAATTAAACTATCAGTTTAAGCTTGCTTTTTATTTCAGTAAAGATTAATCCTAGATCACGTGATCCTTTAAAAATTTGTGTTAGTTTAAGTTACATTTAGAAATATTTGATTTGTAAGCACTTGCTTTTAAGTCAATTAAATAGAGCTCTTTTACAAATTAATTTTGATAACACCATCCAGAGGTAGGGTTATATTGTTTTTATAACATACACACAGACAGACATACATCCAGATAGACACAGACAGAGATCTCATAGTTTTCTTGCTTGAGTTTTAGAAAGCTCCCCTCTCCTTTTTTTCCCCCCTTTCAGTTTTAAGTTCTATTAATTGAGCCAAGGCTGTAGTCTCAGGCGATATGGGCTATGTTTACATTTCAAGACATGATAAGAGTTATAACTTTAAGCCTTCTCCCAGGAATACTTCTGTTCTCTCAGGGTCAGAATTTTGGGAAGATGTTTTATCAAACTGGCTTTCTCTACAGTTTTGGAACGTCAAAAGAGTTCTGTCCTGGCCATTTAAGAGTTAAGATTAGGGTTTCCCTGGTGGCGCAGTGGTTGAGAGTCCGCCTGCCAATGCAGGGAACACGGGTTCGTTGCCCCGGTCCGGGAAGATCCCAGATGCCGCGGAGCGGCTGGGCCCGTGAGCCATGGCCGCTGAGCCTGCGCGTCCGGAGCCTGTGCTCCGCGACGGGAGAGCCACAGCAGTGAGAGGCCCGCATACTGCAAAAAAAAAAAAAAAAAAAAAAAAATTAAGATTAAAGTGCTTGCAAGCATTGGCTTTGTTTCAATTGTACATGAAGCCAGCCAGGGTTCCAGGAGTGGGTGCACATACGGGAGCTGTTCAGCCTTTGAGGCACGGTTTTCCGTTATTCATTTGGTACCCTAACTCAGATATGATCTGAACAACTTTCTGAGGTCAGTGTGATGGATCGAATGTGTGCTGCTTCTGAGTCTAGCTTCCCAGGGAGTTACCCTTGGGTCTGTTCGACTCTTTTATATGTCTGAGTCTCTCCTTCCAACAGTCTAAAACTGCCATGGGTGCCCAGTGCACTAGGTGATCAGCCTTATAGTGCCCCCTGGGGAGCAGAATTTACTTAATGATTGTACTGGGATCCCCTGTAGGACCACTGCATGGCATGAGGATTGATTCTCAGCCACTTCCGCTAGGTTCTCAGTCACCTGAGGACACATTATGGCCAGAAGGAGCGAAGTCCCTTTTCTTCAGAGCTCAGCAGGCTCAGTCTCTCATTTCACCAGCAACAGTTTGTTCAGACCATATATACCTAATCTTTCCAATTTAAGCCAAATTTAAAACAAAGATGGCCAATCCAGTTCACTTCAAAGTTCCTCCTAGGTGTCTGCCTAGGAATTTCCCCTTAGGTCCCTGCCTAGGAAATAGGAAATATACCAGTATCCCCTTAGGACTTCAAGTCCCAAGAGAAACAGCTTGAATAAAATTCAGGACGTCATTTAAAGCAATGGTGTCTGGATATCAGGAGAACTCACCAAAGCACCTGAGGCTTTGGTGATGGGGCTCAAAGGGCCCATGCTGGTACCAAGTGGATGGGGCTCAAAGGGCCCATGCTGGTACCAAGCACTGGTTTGGGGTAGACTCCAGGTGTCCTCTGGTGCGTGTCTCTGATATCCTGTTGGCTACCCCAAGAAAATGACGAGGAAAATTCAGTTAACTATCAAGTTAAGAAGAAAAATAAAGGAACTTTATTTGAGCCAAACAGGATTGTAACCTAGGAAGCAGCTTCTCAGAAAGCTCTAAGAACTGTTCCACTTGTTAGGAGTCAAAGGCACAGTCATATACATTTTGGAGACAAAGAATTGTACATCAAAATGACACACTGATATTTTACATAAAGTTCATCAAGGTTACATAGTCCAGGTAAGCATGGGCAAAGTGAGCAGCAAGTCGCCATGACCCCCTACAGAGCTGGGAAAGAGCACCGTTCTTCTAAGAAGTCACATTGCTAGCATAAGAAGAAAGAAAAAATAATTCATCTTTATGCTTCAGCAGGCACCCCCATCTCTGAGGAGGTCTGGTTAATGTGTAATGCAGATGCATACTACACATTAGGGAGGAAAGGAAGAGGCCCAAACAAACACAGAGAGAATTTTGTGTTTAATTTTTCTTGTCCTGCCTTGAAATGTAAATTTTATTTCATCACAGATGTGACTGGGGTATTCAGGAGTTCAGAGGAGGGGCATGTTGAACTGGCTTCTTTAAGGAAGGCGAGGCCTGAAGTGAGCCTTAAGGAATGAGTAAAGTTAGTCAAGTGTGGGCTAGGACATTCCAGGTAAGAGCAGAAACCCAGAAGTCATGGTGGTCAAGAAGTAGAGTCGAAGAAAGGAGAAAAGAGAGCTGAGGCTGGAGGAGGAGGCTTTTGGGAAGATGAGTTCTATTTGCGTTACATGGAGTCTGAGGCACCCCAAAGTTCAGCAGGAAGCTGGGTGTGTGAGGCTGAAGCTTAGACTTAGTCTGGAATGGAGATGGAGATTTAAGAGGGAGGAAGTGATAGCTGAAAGTGTGAGTTGACTCAGTTATTTAAGAAGCGTATACAGAGTGAGGAGAGCAGACATTTGAGACTAGAATGCAAATCAAATCGACATTTAAGGGGTGGGCAGAGAAAAATGAGCTCAGGAAGGAGAGAGAATCAAGAAACAGTATGAAATCAAATTCATATTTTATGGCAAGACAAGAAGAATTTAAACATAAAAAAATTTCTCTGCCCTTTGGCCTCCTCTCTCCCCTCTACTGTGCACTGTGTATCTGCATTATGCATTGACCAAACCTCCCCCATCGGCAGGAATACCTGCTCAGCCATAAAGACAACATTCTCCCAGCACCAACAAGACAATTGCTTGAAGATGACCTTCCTTCTTGATCTTGTAAGGGGTCACATGACCCGCCACTTTGTACTTGCAGATCTGGATTGTGTTAACTGTAATACATCATTTGCTGTACAGCTCTCTGTCTCAGAAGAAACTTATATAACCGTGCCTTGATTTCTAACCAGCAGAACAGTTCTCAGAGCTTTCTGAGACGCTCTACCTGGGTTATAAATCCTCAAATTTGGCTCAAATAAAATTTTCCAACTCTTTCTTAGATTGACTGATTAATGTTGTGTCAACAAGAGATAGGAGCATGGCGTCATGGAAAGCCAAGGGGTAGAATTTAAATCAAGGCATGGCTTATGACATGATGGCCTTGCTGTTCTGGCAAGGTCAGGGCTGAAAAGATGAAGGCATTGGAGACATCAGCATGAAAAGGTTTGGTCAATAGTGAGGATGAAAAACATGGTGTTAAGAGGAATTAAGGACAATATAAGTGGTCTACTCCAGAGAAATCTGGATGAGAAGAAAAGATAAGTTGGGTTATAGCTTGAGGGATATAGGAGGTCAAAGGATGATGATGATGATGAAATGCTCTGGGGAGAGACTTCAGTATGTTTTTCGTCTGAAGAAAATCTAGTAGGAAGGTTGAAAACATAGGGGAGAGATGACACATGGAGGAAACATAGGGGAGGAATATCTCATGCACTGAGGCTGGGGAGGTGGGGGGAGGGTGCTATCACATTGATAGCCTCACATTTTTTTTATGATGTGGGAGACAAGGTTCATAGATAATTTGGTCTACCTGAACTAATATTCTGCCCAAATCCCCCTATTGCAGGTTCCTTCTTCCTTTTGTCAGCAAACAATTCACTGTCCCTTGGACCTGCTATCTGCGTCCTGCAGAAACATTACACTTACGCTATGGGAAGCGGCACCTCCACCCAACATCATTTTGCTTTCCAGAATGCAGAGAAAGGTACGCGCTTCCCACCTTCAGACTAACCGTGGCTACCCCGAAGCCTACATTACATAGGGAGGGGCTTCTCAGGGTGGGCAGGAAATCGTTACATTTCTCCTCGTGCTAAATCTTGAAAATCGGCTTCTCCTCCTTGTAACGTGACCACTAGGATGCTCAGCTGAATGTCTTAGGACTTGATGAACTATATTTAATAGAATTAAAATTTACTCAAGGAGTCAGTGTTGTCCATTGGGGTTTATCCCAAACTACACCTTTACAACTGAATGAAATAAGATTGGGCAAAAAGGGGATGAAAGAGCATTCTAGGTAGAGGGTACAAAGGTCGTGAAGCAGCAGGGAGAGAGACATATTCAAGGAACTGAGGGGTCTAAAGTGAACAAGATGGAGGCTGACATGCCGTGAGGCTGCCGAGGTGTGCAGAGACCACGTCACTCAGGAGCTTGTAGGATTTTAAACTTTATCCTAAAGGCAAGAAGAACCACTGAAGAATTCAAAACAGGGAGTTCTAGAATAAGATTTACATACATAAAATACCCTTCTGGCTTCCATGAAGAAGGGATTGAGACAGGCTGGATGGTGGTGGTAAGAGTGGAAGGAAGAAAATCTATTTATTTATTTATTTATTATTTTTAAAAAATAAATTTATTTAATTTATTCTGGCTGCGTTGGATCTTCGTTGCCGCACGCGGGCTTTCTCTAGTTGTGGCGAGCGGGGGCTACTCTTCGTTGTGGTGCGCAGGCTTCTCATTGCGGTGGCTTCTCTCGTTGCGGAGCACGGGCTCTAGGCGCACAGGCTTCAGTAGTTGCAGCACGTGGGCTCAGGAGTTGTGGCTCGCAGGCTCTAGAGCGCAGGCTCAGTAGTTGTGGCTCGTGGGCTCTAGAGCGCAAGCTCAGTAGTTGTGGCGCACAGGCTTAGCTGCTCCACGGCATGTGGGATCTTCTCGGACCAGGGCTCGAACCCGTGTCCCCTACATTGGCAGGTGGATTCTTAACTACTGGGCCACCAGGGAAGCCCGGAAGAACAATTTAGAAGCTGCTAAAGTCATCTAAGCAGGAGATGATAATGCCTTGGTCCAGAGTTGGTGGCAGTAGAGATGGAGAGAAGAGGGTGAATTCCAACAATATTCAGGAGGTGGAATTGATAGGATCCACCTGATTACATGTGTGGGGTTGGGGAAAAGGATGGATCAAGAATGACCTCCAGGTTTCTAGCTAGCAAACATGGGCAGATGATAATGCCAATTTCTGACATAAAGATAATGGAGAAGAACCAAGCTCGAGTAGAAGGAAGGTGCTGAGTTTATACACGCTGGGTTTGAGATGCCCATGCAACATGCAGGTGGATGTGCTGAGTAGGCAGTTGCATATTCAGATCTGGATTTGGGAGACGTTGGTGGAGATGCATGCATTTGGAAGGCATCAGAGTACGGGTGATTGTTGAAGCCATGGGGGTCACTGAAGTAGCCTAGAGTGAGAGTAAAGTCAGGTCGGAGACCAGGGCCTAGGACAGAGCCATGAGGGACTCCAGTACTTATTAAGCATCGGTCGAAGAGGATGAGCCAGCGAAAGAGGCCGAGGAGAGGCAACCAGAGATGAAGGAAGAAGCAAGGGAAATAGTGACAGCACCTTGTTTATATAAGCCTAAGCAACTTTATAAGCTCATGGCTTCCTTTCTAGTTTGGCAATAGGTCCCAGGCTCATCTTGCATATTTTTGGCTCCAGACCAGAAATAGCTATTTCTCCAGAGCTTGGGGTGTTCGCTACCAGGTTGGTCATTATTTTCTACACCTTTTCAGTGACCAGATCCAGAAAATATGTATAATTTTAATGACCAGTTTATATTTAGGGTCACAATATTTTTACTTAACTTTGATATGATACTATATCTGTATCTCCTTTCTCTTTAAAAAAACCTTTTTTCCCTGATGACACTGATGTGGTATTATTTACTTTGTCCTATAGTATATAAAAAAGTTTCTGAAAAATAATAATACTATTATAACGATATGATTACTGAAAACTCTTTAAGATTTCTTTGTAGTTCTTTTTGTTCTTTGAGTACATCCACTAGGCATATACAACTTACTGAATTTTCAAGTCATTTGAAAGAACTCCTTTCTGTGTGGTTATGCCACTAACTTGTACAAGATTAGATTCACTTGTTTGACTTTTGCTTTTTAGAGATTGATTTTTTTTTTAAATTTTGATTTAAATTTGCTTTATAATTTTATAAAACATTTATACAATTCCCACTCCAATTATCTGGTGCTGCGTAACAAACGACCCCAAAACTGAGTGGCTTAAGACAGTCATTTTATTCTGCTCATGATTTTGTGGGTCAGGAATTTGCAAAGGGCCCAGCTAGATGGCTTGTCTATGATCCTCAGGGCAGCTGGGGCTGGAGGTTCTGCTTCCAGGACGGCTCTTCACCTTGGCCTCTGTCTCCCCACATGGTTGTCCTTAGTGTGGAATTTTAACAGCCAGGTGTATTTGTAACTTTTGCCATAGGATTTAGTCTGCACAAGGCTGAGGAAGAGGACCCCAAGCATGTAGTATTGCACTGATGGGAAGGGAGGATGGGGTAGAGGTCCTTAAACTATGCTACAACGTCACAGCACCCATGTCAATGGAACCCAGGCCCTAGACAGAGGATTGGGAGGGAGAATAAAAGGGAGAAACAGAGGCACTGCCTGGTCTGCCTACCCTGAGCAGCCGAAGAGGTACTGAGGATAGTATGTCTAGTTGGCAGCGCTTGCCTTAAAATGCTTGAGGCAAGGTGTTAGCAAACAACATTTTCACGGAAACTTGATGGTCATGATATTCCTCAGTGATGCCTACCCTTCAGCACAAGTCAGGATCATTCATGGAGCTTGTTAAAACTGCAGCTTCCTGGGTTCCCTGTAGAGATTCTGATGCTGTAGGTCTAGGGTGAGGTGCAGGTGTCTGGGTGTTTCCCATGACTTGTTACTTTAGCTAAGTACCGCTTACTCTGGGCGTTTCATTCACTACTCTGAATGGGGATTTACAGAATTCAATCCTCGTCACTTATTATTTCGTGAGTGCCTTTGGGACATACTTAGTGTATGACATTTTTTCCTCACAGAAAACCAAATTCAGCTTTGCTTAAATTTCTCTCAAGTTCTCTTTTCCCATTCACTATTGTATCTCATCTCCTCTTAGGGACATCAGTAGGAATTCCATTAGCTCTCTAATGCAGGCTAGGTGTATTAAATCAATCTGTCTACTGTTCACAAGGTTGACCTGAGTGAGCCTGCTGCGTTTCCTTTGCAATCCAGCTTTATCCACAAAGGCTCCATTCATCCCTGGTGGCACATTCAGGCCCAGGAGCTTAAGGAGAATCTAGTTACTCATGTGGACAGCTGTCCTCTTCTCTGGCAGCAGTACTTGACTGCAGGTTCTAGAGCTCATAGGAAGAATTCAACCTACTCACGCCATCCTGCAGTACACAATCGCCCAGCACAGGTCCTGGCAAAAGGAGAAGCAAAGGCTGCCCTCTGGATTGGATAGTCAGCACAGTCCTGGGTGTATTGTGATGGGGACACAAAGCCACAGGGATAGAAGGAATTTGGGGATATCAAGCACTGACCACCACCTGACATGACAGTATGTAGCGTGTGTGTTTCTTCTCCCCAGTTATCATCTAGTTCATCTCTTTCTCCAGATGAGGACACTGAGGCCCAGAAAGTTGACTTGCCTGAGACCACATCGCTGGTCAGGGCAGTTCCAGGCCCAGAACCAGACTCCTGACATCCTGTCTATTGTTGCAGTATCAAAATGTCCTCCACACCCTCTGACCCCTGCATCATCCCATCCTTTTTTTTTTGCATTTGAATGTGTTTTTTTAACACAATTTTTAAAGGTTACTTTCCATTTACAGTTATTATAAACTATTGCCTATATTTCCCATGTTGTACACTATATCCTTGTAGCTTACTTTATACATAATAGTTTGTACCTCTTACTCCCCTTCCTCTATATTGCCCCTTCCCCCTTCCCTTTCCCCACTTGGTAACCACTAGTTTGCTCTATCTGTGAGTCTGCTTCTTTTTTGTTATATTCACTAGTTTGTTGTATTGATATTTTTTAGATTCCACATATAAGTGATATCATACAGTATCTGCCTTTCTCTGACTCACTTCACTGAGCACAATGCCCTCCAAGTCCATCCGTGTTCCTGAGCATGGCAAAATTTCATTCTTTTTTTATGGCTGAGTAGTATCTGCATCATCCTACTCTTCAAGGTTGCTGCAACCTTGCAACCTCCCCAGTTTACATCTCTTTTTCAGAATCCAACCTTTGCATCTCTACACATATAAATGTTTTCATCGAAAAGTGGGAATTCCAGTAGTCCTCCAGTGATTTTAGTATAAGTAATAGGTAGGAATGGAGGAGGGATGGGGGCGGGAATGGGGAAAAAGCACCCCGGCCAGCAGTGAGGCAAATCCTTCCTACCGGTGGCAAAATATAGTGCTTTCCCTA